CCAACCAGGCTGAGGCTTCACTGTCCTTCCTTTGCTCTTTGCTCCAATTAGGCGCACATTGTGGTAGCTGGAAGGCTCCCCGTCTTTGGCAGGAAGAGCCAGCCTGGTTCCCAGGCAGCCAGCCACCTCCTTCCTTAGAAGGCCGCTTTGACCTCATCCTGCCTTCTCCATCCAAGGGCCAGGCTGCTTTTTGCAGGACCGAGGGCCTTCTGGAGGAGGGAAACGTTCCCCCCCACTTGCCAAAAATGCAGATGGTCCAAAGATCAGCAGAGCAGGGAGAGGTCCAGTTGATTTTGAGCGGCCAGAGGAGGAGGGGGGCTCACTAACTCTGCTCTCATCAGCCCTGAATAGAAAGATTGAAGCCCAGTTGCAAATATTGGGCAGCTGGAATTATTACTTCCATGCAAAGGGGCGCAAGGCGTAGGTGCCTCCAGCATAGTCTTCCGGTGCTGCTTCATCCTCCAATGTGAAGACCGCCCCCCAAGCTCTGCACCCCTCTTCCCTCCCTGCCTGCCTGCTCTTCTTTCCCTGAAAGGAAAACAGCCCTTGGGAAGAAGAGGGCCCAGTCCTTCCCCTGCCCACTTCGGCTTTCCATTTTCGGCCTTTGCTGTGGCCACTTTCCCTCTCCCCACCTTGCTTGAACCCCTGTATTTGAAAAGAACATTTTGTTATTTCTTGGAGCTTGCAGAGGAGTGGCCAGCTGCTTGCACACAGGACTCTGGCAGGGAGGAAGGAAAGAAGGAAGGGAGAAAGTTGGAGAAAGGAGGCCCGTGCACCCACGCACTCTCTCCCCTGTGGGAGGAAAATCACTGCCTCAACAGCCTCAAACTCCACCTTGAGGCTCAATCCTTTGCTTAGCCGCTTTAAACCAATGTACGTAAGCGTGTTGAGTGGGACAGAGACAAAGCTCGGAGAAGAGACGCCCCCCCCACCTTCAACCTCAACAAAAGCGACCCCCCAAGAAGGCTCCATCGTGGCACATCAACGCATCGGCTAAAAAGAGGAAAACACACTTTCTCCCCCACTTCAAATCCATATCCGGATCTCTCTATATCAAATCACATTCCCTCAATCCCTCCACTTGACTTTCTCCAGATAAGTGCCCATTTTATCCAGAAGGATGTTAAAACTGCTCCCGGGCCCAGCTGAAGATTTTGGGCACGTCTGTTGAACCCCAGGCTCTAACGACATTCCCAGATGGTTGAGGCAGAGTCAAAATATCAGCCCCCGAGAGCAGGCGGGGTAGAGTGGGGGTGGCCCAAGAAGGGGTGAGCATGTGCATGGATACATATGTGTGCAAGAGAGAATGCGCTGGGCGGGGGTCACATTTCACAAGCACTCAGTTGCCCCACAGAGCGAAGGGATGGGGACGGCCTGGTGACTTAAAAGCAGCTTGCCATATGTCAGTGCAGAGAAGAAAGAAGTAGGAGAAAGAGAGAGAGAGAGAGCTTCCTTGGCACACCAGATCTCTGGTCTGGGATCCCAACCGGCAGGGGAAGAAAGAATGGGAGCAAACCTTGTCGGGCAGCATCTGGGGCAGCACCCTGGTCCTGGGGAAGAGCCGGCCCCACTTAATGGTCTTCGTCCCAAGCTGAACAGACGCCGGACACCGCTGGACCCAGGCCACATCTGGCTTTTTCTGCCCAGGAGCAGGAAAGGCTCTCTGGGCTGTGGGCAGGCATGGGTGGGTGGGTGCTTCTCTCTCGCTCTCCCGCCTGCCAATCATTAACCCCGGCTCAGCAGCACCTTCAGGCTGGCATCCTGAGGGTGATTTAAGAGGCTGGCATTCCCTCCGGTGGGAGGAGGAGGAGACGGAGGAGGTGGCTCAGATGTTCCTCTCCTGGCTGAGCAGGCAATTTGGCCCATGGGGAAGGATGGAGCTTGGGATATCTGTGAGACTCACAGCTCTGGTTGAAGGGAGGAGGAAACACCAAACTCCCTTGCAAGTTGCAATAAATAAAGAAATAAATGAAATGAAACTGGCACACCAGAAGGGCCGCTGCGTTTTCTCCTTGCGAGGGAAGCCCCTCGCTTTTAAGATCACAAAGACGCTTCGTTTTATGCAGGAAGCCTGACCTGAAGCAGCTGCAGGGGGACCAAGCCACAATCAAGCTATGGGGTTTTTTTCCCATGCTTGCCTAATGTTCCTCAATAAAACCACGGGTCAGTCCTGTGTTTTTATCCTGAGGAGGCAACGAACCTCCCTGGGTGAAAGCAGTATACCCCAAGCCCTCCGCTCTAGACACACCTGCGCAAGGGCTCACCTAGTGAGAACCCACCGTGGTAACAGGGACCAAATCATTCTTGAAACTTTGCCCATCTTCCTCCCAAACTCCAGGAGGAAAAACTATCCAGGCGCATCACGCGAGGAATTGGGAAGTTGTTCCAGCCGTTATCTGTTCTTTACTTGATGGTGGTTTTAAAAGTAGGTGTCCACTTTTCCTCCCCTTCTGCTCTTCTGGCCTTCCACAAAAATAAAATGGGCGACCCAGGAGGGAAGAGCTGCGCCTGGGACTTCTCGGAGCTGCTTTGCAGGAAGCAGCCCTCAGAGCTTGGGGCTCTGCACCCCCAGGAGCAGCGGCCATGTGGCGTGGAGCTTCCATGTTCTGAAGCAGCCAAGCTGAGAGCGCCAGGCTCTGGGGAGGGCAAGGCCGCCAGCCAGGCCAAAGCCAACTTGGAGAGCTTTTGGGAGGCGTCTGATTGGCAGGTGGTTACTGGAGTGGCTCAGGCGGAGGATCTGAGGGACAAGAAGGGTCTTCGAGCCCCAGATAAGCAAGACGCTGCCCACTTGTAGGGCTGTTATCCAGGCCCCTGGAATGGGCAGAGATGGGCTGCCCTGCCCTTCGGCCTACCCCAGTGCTTCCCCCCTCTTGGTTCCCGGCCCTCCATCTCCAGAGTTCAGCCCTGTCCAGCTCTCTGCCCTCTTCACTTCCCAGCCTGCTACCTGAGCACCAGGTGAGGCCAAGTGAAGCCCTCCCGCTTGACAGGAACCCATTGTCTCTGCTCCCGGCATTCTTGCCCGCCACCTTCTGAGTGTCTCCAGAGCCCAAAACAATTACCAAAGGAAACCTGACAGGCAACCGACCTGGGTGTGTTCAGACTGTCCCGTTTGCATAGAAAGGTTTTGTTTTGGTAGCTGAGATTTGGGAGAGGCAGAAAAACTCACAAAACGACTCTGAAAGGTCAGGGTGGATGTTGTTGTGGGCCCCCGTGCGTCATCGCGAGACCCTCCCCTCGCGGGATGAAAACTGCTATTGTTGGGCGATGTGCTCAACCAACCGAAGTTGGGTGCAACGGCCAAACACATTACTTACAGACCGACTGTGAGTAAGTTCTTGCCTCTCCTTGCTTTCTTTTTTTTTCTCAAGAAAGTTTTTATTTTTGTTTCTCATAAACATAGTTACATGTACAGTCATTTATCCACCATTTCATCTTATCTTTTAACTTTCATTTTTAATTTTTACTTATTTGGGGCTGCTCTTTTACCATTTACCCTTCTTTATTTTGCCACAACCTTTTTTCTTCTCCTCCTTCCCTTCTCTTCCTTCCTCTATCTCCTCCTCCTTTCTTCGTTCTTCCTCTCCTCTTTCCTACTTCCCCTTCTCTTCCCCCACTCCTCTCTTCTTCCCCCTTCTAAACTTCTCTCCTACTCCTCTTTCCCCTCCCTTTTCTTCCTCTCCTTTTCCCTTTCTTCTCTCTCTCCCTCTCCCCTCTCCTCTCTTCTCCCTTCCTCTCTCTCTACTCCTTCCCCGATTTTCTATTTATCTCTATTCTCATTTCAATTTCTTATTTGATTAGTATTTATTTCTATTTCATCATTTGTGTACATTTTTATAATACTCACTTTTTCCCTTTTACCCCCCCCTTTCTCCTTTTACCTTTTCTCTATTTATTTTAACTCCATACCCTTATTCGTATTTCCTTTCTATCCACTCGTAAAATTTATCCCATGTCCTGAAATACATCGACTCCTCTTTATCTTTTATCCTCAATGTTAATCTATTCATGTCTCTCTCCTTGGTTTCTGGGGAGGTTCTCATCTTGAGAAAAATCTCATCTCCAAAAAAACCCCCCCAAGATTGTTGAACTTTCTGCTTGCTTGAACTGTTGTATTTCATGGATTCTTCTTCCTCTTGTGCCATGTCCGTCATCAGACGTTGGCGATCATGTTGGCCATCCTATTTTTATCAACAGCCGCACGAAAAAGTGCTGCTGAGTTTTGCCCAAACCGGTCCCTTAGATTTTGAAGCCACGATGTTCTTCTTCCGCCTGGACCTCCTTTGCCTTCCATCTTTCCTTGGAGGGTTAAGCGAAGGATGCCGTATTTTTCCGGGTCGCATCCCATGTCCCAAATATTCTAACTTTCACTTTTTAATGGTGAGGATTGGATGATTTCCCTTGGTTTTTCCCAGGCGGCTTATCACCTCCTCCTTTCTGATTTTGTCAACCTAGCTTATAAGTAACAGTCACCTGTAAATTCCACCTTTCCGGTCTCTTCGAGTGGCTAAGGAAAGCCAAAATCCAGTGGGGCTTTGGGGGGGGGGGGAAGAGAGGCGGGAGCCCAATTCCGCTTCAGCTGTGCCCCCTAGTGGTCAGTGGAAAAGTAGACTTCTCCCAACTTGGATTTCATTATTGTTTGTTCTGATAACTAACAAACAATAATGAACACCTGGTTTTAAGGTGGATGTTTCCAAAACGTTGCACTCAGGGAAAAGCAAGGAGGAGGAGGAGGACGAGAGGGAGGAGACCCTTGGATTTGTCTGACTGGAAACCAAGTCTTAAGATGCAGCATCTTTGGCGAGATGCTCGTCTGTGCCAGCCCCCCAGCAGAGGGCGCTCAGACCCCTTTCATGGACAGATGCAAGCCAGCCAAAACTCACCTTGGAGAGAGAGAGCCTGCCGAACGGGGGCAGTCTACCTTTGGAAGGGTCAGCGCTCGGCTGGGGCCAACGCACCACTTCCTCAGGGACAGACTGGGTGGGACTTCCAAGATGGAAAATGCGGCCAGGTTTTTCTCCTGCTCTCCAGGCATTAAAAGGTGGGCCATCACCTGAACGTAAGCGCAGGAGGATTCGGGTCCCTGCAGGGAGCTCAGGCTGGGCTGTTGGCTGCCCTCCGTTCTGCCCGCTCTGCTGCTGCCTCCCTTCCCTGGCTCCACCGCTTGCCTCTGGCCGGTGGGCCTGCCTTCCACGCTCCTTCTTGGTGAGTGCTGAACCTGACTCCAACTCTGAGGCCAGAGAAGCGGCTTTTCCTGCGTCCTGAGACGGGCTGGCCGAGGGACAAAGGCCGGATTGTGCCAGATGACAGGCACAGCAGCCTTGGGCAGGCGGCGGAGGGAGGGGGGCCGTCGGGGGTTTGGCCAAATGCCAGCATGGGAAACCACCTCCTCCTCCCCCCTCGTCCCCCTCCTCCAAAGCCGCCTCTTCTGCTGCCCCACTGCCCCTTTATCCCACTGCTGCGGGGGGGTGGGCAGTACTGCCAACATTAAGCATTGCCTTTTCCGCAACCCTCCAGCGAGCCAAACTCTTCCCACACAGCATTGCTAAGCAACCTGCGCACGGAGGGCTTTGCCTCCTGCAAGCGGAAGGCCTTGGGGGTGGGGGGGGCTTCTCAGCCTTTCCCGGGATGCGCCCCCCCACTTCCACTTCAGAACCTTCCACTGCTCAGGGAGGCCGTGAGGGAGAAGGAAACATTGGCACCCCGCCCTGCCCTGGGCAACCCTCAATCGCAGCAGCAGCCCCCAGAGAGAGAAGGAGGAAGAGGAGGAGGAGGCAGAAAAAGAGGACCCCCCATTCTCAAGGGGGGAGCTCTCAAGCCTCGGCAGAGAAGGGGGCCCTCGGGGAGACATCCGTGGGGCCAGAGGAGGTGCCCCCCAACCGGCTCTCATTTGACTTGAGAAGACTGAAGGGGGCGAGGCCAGGCCACGGCAGGCAAGGGGGGCCCTGTGCCAACAGGGCAGGGGGCGAGAGGTGGAGGGATGGAGGCTCCACGGAGGCCCGGGATTTGCTGAGGGGCCAGCTGGGAGGGTTTTAGCACCAGGCCAGTGGCTGAGGGCCTTCCCTGCCCTTCCCTGCTGCTCAGATGCATCTCTGCAGCCTCCCAGTTAATTTCCTTTCCTGCTTCTAACGGCTTCCTCTGCCCCCAGCAGGCCATCGCTGCCACGTTGAAGGGGCACGAGCGGCTCCCTTTATCCGCCTGAGCCAAAGACACAGCCAGTTTATCCCACTCAGGCCGCCTGGACGAAGCCGCTGCCTGGCTGACCTCCACTCTCTTTCTCTCTCCTGCATTGGGGGGCAGAACATCCGGAGCTGCTAGAAAACTGGGCACCAGCACTTGGGGGGCATCCATCCACCAAGGTAGACTGCTGTGAACTGGGAAGTTCTGCTCCAGCTCTCGGAATTCCAGAAGGGCTCCCCATCTTTCAGAGGAGGAGAGATGCCCAGACCGCCTTCCTCGGATGACAGCTTGCAGTTTCTCGTGCTTGAAGGAAATGGTTGGCAACCCAGACACTGATCTGCAAAGCCTGGGCCGAGTCTTGGCCAGCAAACCCCTCCTCGTGCCAATCGTGGCTTGATGGGAAGCCGACTTGTGTGGGATTGGCCTCCCCAGGGAGGCCTTTGACAGAAGCTTGTTTAGCAGCTTTGTGGAATATCCGGTCAGTGAAGAAGAGAGAGAGAGAGAGAGACAAGCCGAGTCTCCATTTCCAGTTTTTGTTCCAAAACCCACAAACTGGGCCACGTGGCTGCGAGGGCCCCCACTCTTTGCCCTCCCCTGAGTGGCCTCGCTCTGTGCGGCCCCCGCAGATCCTCCTGTGTCCCTCTGTAAAGCTGGACCCTCCACTGGGGCAGAGAGAGCCCAGAGGCCGGCCTCTTCCTCCGCCGCTCCCAAAGAGGTGGGATGGGGCTGGCAGGGGCCTCCGGAGCTGTTCGGTCCCACAGCCATCCGGGTGCCAAGAGCAGGCGGCAACGTGCGCAGCTTCTAGCAAGGGCTGGGCAGCTCTGAAGCCCACGCTGCCAGCAGCCGCCGCCACCGCCACGGAGTAGCGACAACAAGGGAGCTTGCTAAAGGAGCCCAAGCCGGAGACGGAGCTGCAGGAAGGAGGCGCAGAGAGTGACTGAGGCTTCGCCGGCTGGGAGTGTGGGAAGCTCAGCTCCTTCCTGGCCTGCTGGTGGACAGATTTGCTGCGGGACATTGGTCGTTGCAGACCTTCTGAGCCGGAGGAGGGGGCTCTGGCATCCCGAGAGGCGAGAGGCAGCAGCGGTCTTCTCCCAGCCCCCGAGACTCTGGGGCTCTTCTTGTTCGAGGCCAAATCCTCCGTCGGCTTTTGTGTCGTGCAAGAAGGGGGTTTGGAGGTTGCCTTGGCCCACCCTCCTGCTTTGCCCTCCCCCTCTTCGGCCCTCCTGGCAGCTCTGCTCCTGGGCAGCCTTGCCACTTTCTTCCCATTCCTGGGAAGAGGGTAGGACTTGGGGCAGGGAGGGCCAGAGATGCCTCTCCGGCCTCAGGGCTGGACAAGGGCCAGCCAGACCCAAAGGTCACCTGTCAGACCAGGAGAGCTGCCCGGCTGTGCCATGCCAAGGAAGAGACGGGTCCCCTTACGGAGCTGGCCGGAGCTCGTAAATCAGGAGGATCGGCTGGCGGCTGCGAGGATGAGCACCGGAGAGGGGTCTCCTTTGGACTGCTGAGGCTCCCTCCACCCTCCCCGGCTGGCAGCTGCCTTCCTAGAAGCCATGGAGCCGCACCACCCATCCGACCAAGAGGAGAGTTCTCGGGGTAAGGGGCTCCGACCTTAAGGGTCCCTCCTACCTGGATGGGATTTCCCCTTTGTGTTTTGGGGGTGGGGAACAAGCTGCTGAGCCCTCCAGCCTGGGCTTTGTTGGGGGCTGGCTTGGAAAGGGACAGGCCAAGCGCCTTTGACCTCAAAGTGCGTGGGGTTGGGGGCCTCGTCTGGGGCCAGGTATCCTGGGGGCCAGGTTGAGTAACTCAGCCAAGGACTGATGCCTTTATGTCCAGCACTAAAAGAGGCTTTCACTTCTGCGGAGTTTGTTATGAGCAAGGACGTGGCCTTGAGAGGGCCCAATTGGGAGCTCTTCAGGAGGCAGAAAATATCTTTGTGCAATGCTGAGAACTTTGCGCAATCATAAGGTTATAAATGGAAGGGGTGGTCTTTCAAAAGATGCTCCCCTTCAGATCTCCTTCCTTCCTTCCTTCCTTCCTTCCTTCCTTCCTTCCTTCCTTCCTTCCTTCCTTCCTTCCTTCCTCCCTCCCTCCCTCCCTCCCTCCCTCCCTCCCTTCCCTTGGAGGTCTGTACATTGGAGAATGCTGCGTATTTGATGGAAATGTATATAAAAATGGGTTTTCTTACATCTTTTGCAACAAATGCAAAAACGACGCAGACATTTTAAGCATATTATTTCAACGCACATGACGTGGATCAGCCACAGATTCTTCAATGCATCTTGTCTTTCGGTCCTTCCCAGCCGAGCCGGCGATGGCCCTGATGGCTGCGGATCCGGATTGCTGCTCAGGATCCCCTCGGGATCAGGAGCCTTCCCTTGCTGGTGGCTGGTGGGAACCACCCAGTTTCCTATGTATCTTTTGCACGCAGGGATTGCCTTTGGCTCACCCTGGTTTCCCCTCCATAATCCTTGTGGCCCTTGAATGAAGAACGCTTCATTTTCACAGGTGGATCTGTGGCACACATTCATCTCGTAAGATAGGCTTTGGGGTAAAGATGAGCTTTGTGAGAGGGGCAGAGATGGGCCAGGATGGCCAACTGGGAGGGAGGGAGGGACCCTGCGTGGCGTTTGAGAATGGCACCCAGAGGGCCAAAAGGAAACCCAGCTGCACATTGCTAGGAGTGGACTTTGGCTGTGAAGGTTTGGTGAGCATGGATGAAATTTCTCTTTGCTGGCTGTGGCTGGAGGAGGAAGGGAGAGGGAGCTCTCTGGTCAGCTGGGGGTGAGCCAGCAACAGCCTGGACTGACTTCATCCTCTCCTCCCAGGTAGACTGCCCTTGAACCGCAGGCTTCATTAGAGGAGGTGACTCATTGCCATGGAGAGGAGGAAAGATTGGAGACCTTGGGAAGTTCAGCCTGTAGGAGGGAGGGAGGGAGGCTTCTTCCCTGAAGGCGGGACAAGAAATCTGGAGTTGAAATTGCAAGAGAGAACAAGGGAAGTCCTGGATTGGTAGCAGCTGACAGGATCGTCTTTCCGACCCACAGAGATTGGGGGAATTTGGGAAAAGGCCCGTATGATTTGCAAGCTGCCACCCTCCATAATGGAGGGGAGAGGAGTTTCCTTTTGCCAGAAGGCTGGGCTGGAGGGGCTGCCATGTCCCGGGTTCTTCCCCAGGGCTCCTGCCAAAGGGGTAGGGCTGGGGGTGGGGGCTGGTAAACGGTGGGCCGCTGGAAGGAAGGAAGCAAGACGAGCCCCATGGCTGCAGGGGGAAATGGCGTCGAGCTGGAGAGCGAAGGTGGGGGTAGATTGGCAAGGGAAGCTGGGTGTGGGAGGAAGGCAGGCAGGAGCCGTTGCCATCTCGGCTGAGAACCAAAAGGCTGGGGAGAAAATGCCTTTTGCAGACCCGGGTCTCATCTGTCCAGCTTTACGTGGTCTTCCAGCCTTCTATTTTAGGCAGATCCATCTGGGCCCAGAAACTTGCGGTGTCTGTGTGTGTGGTGGTGGTGTGGGGGGGAGATGCTGAAGCTGACAAGCTGGATTTGCACGTCCCTCTTTAACTGGGGGGGCTGAATCCACCCATTTACTGGGTTGATGCAAGAGAGCAAACCATAAGCTGAATCTACATAGCAGAGCAAGCCATCCCAGGCCCCTAAGTGGGTGTGGGGGAATTTGGGGGGCTCCCGTGAGTCAAGGTGCATTGAGGGGGCTCTTTTGCTCTGGAGGGTCATCCTGGGTCATGTGCCCAGCAGAATCCGGTGCCAAGAACACAGGCGGCCCCTCACTCTTTGCCCTCTGCTGCCAGCTGGCTCTCCTGTCCCATTTGACATGTGGCTGCATCCCCTGTGGTCTCCCCCCCAGGCCCCCTGTGAGCCCCCCTCTCCTCCCTGACAGTCAAAAGCTTCTTGGAGAAAGTCCCTGGGGGTCCCTGTGGGCCGAAATGAGGCTGCCATTTCTTGGAGGCTTTTGTCTCCAAAGCCCTAACCCCGGTTCTGAATCTTGTAATTTCTCGGGGCACCTGAGGAGTCCTCGGCTTCCTCCTCCACCCCTGCCCCCGCTCGGCAGCCTGGCACAACTGTGGGCACCTTCCTTCCTTCCCTCCCTCCTCTCCCCAAACAGCTGTCCCCCTCCCCCTCCCAGTTGGTTTGATGGCAAGCACACAGCAGGAGCCCTGAATGAAAACTCAGCTGCTGGCAACAAGCACAGGTGGTGTGAAAAGAAATTTGCAGCTGCTGAAGGGCCCATGGATACATGTGTGTGCGCACACACATATATATATACGCATGCACATCTTAACGCATGCAAACACGCTGCTCTTAAAGAAAATTCTGCAGCATTGAGCCCCCACTCAATTTCTCTTTTAAAAGAGCCAGCAGAAGGCGTGGGAGACCCCCGCATACACACGTTGCATGGCACACCTTTCCTTCCGCCTCTCCTCTCTCTGCCTTTCCTTTTTTCCTTCCAGTTCTTCTCTCCCCAACAAGAAAAGGCTGGGAAAAGAGTCCGGAGGGCCCTTCGTCCTCCTTCCTTCAGATTTTGTCCTGTTTAAAAACATCTAAAGTTTGGTGGTTACTGTAAGCGATATTCAGGCTTTGATTTTTCTGGAGGGAGGGAGGGAGGGGAAGGAAGGAAGGAAGGAAGGAAGGAAGGAAGGAAGGAAGGAAGGAAGGAAGGAAGGAAGGAAGGAAGGGGGCCCCTGGAGGGTCCCTGCTCATTGGTCCCAGTGGCAGGGGTCTGGCTGGGGGCCCCCTTGGTTCTCTGCCCCCCTAACCTCATCTGCCTCGGCTGCAGCCGGCTTTCCCTTCGTAGCTCCCTTGGGGTTATCTGATCCAGGAGGAATGCGCCTCCCTCTCCTTTCAGTCCATCTCCTCTGCGGATGAATTCTTCACCCTCTTCTGAGTCTTGAGCGGTGACCTTCCAGGCTAATCCAAGGAGGACGAACTAAAGAGCTGCCAGGGGGTCTGGCTGGACCCAAGCCCCCAATGTGGGCGTGCAGAGGTGACCCTGTTCCAGCCTGTTAGCTTTTCAACAGAATGAAAAGAAGCTCTAATGGTACAGGGGCCTCTTGCTCGGGCTGGGGTTGGCCTAGAAGACCTCCAAGTTCCCTTCCGACCCTATTTTCCTATCTTCTAAGTTCATCCCTCCTTTTTCTTGGTCTTTCCAACCCCCCAAAAGCCAAATCAACGAGCCTTGATATCAAGAGCAGTCTACCTCTGAGTATCCGATGGCCGCATTTTGGAACCGCTTGGGACAAGTATTTGGATCCCCTCCGACACAGCAAGACCCAAGGACCACGCTGGGTAGCCAGACAGGACTTTGCCTGGGACGGGTAGGGGGCTTAGAGGGAGAGGGAGAGGAAAAGAGGTCTCCGGCAGCCCCCTCTGAAGAGTAAGGGGGCTCCACTTTCCAGCCCTTCCCCTCTAGATTTCTCTCTTTCCCAGTTGGTCACTATCTCTTAAACTCTTACCTTGTTGTAAATTCCCTTGAAGTCCTGGCTAGATCTGCATAGGATCAGCACTGATCCCAAGGATTCACGGAGATAAACTATTATCTGCAGATGGCATGTCTCCAAACCACATGGCTAATTCTGCACCCTTTCCCCATTTTGGCAGGTAGCCCTAGTTACTGCCTTCTGCAGAATCAAACCTGCACCTCCCAGGTGAAATTCAGTGAACGGGGCAAACCCCGTTGCCATTAAGACGGGGGTGTCTTCTGTTGGCACCGGCCTCTGGGGTGCAAGTCATTCGATGGTTCTGTCACTCCATTCAGAATTACATCAGATCTGTGCCTGGCATGCCTAATTAAAGTCGGGGGTGGGAGGGAAGCTTTGACTTTGAAACCGCTTTAAAAACAAAACAGACCCCAGTTTCATATTTTTAGTTCTGCTCTCTATTAGGAACACTTAATGCATCTGCAAATAATAATAGCACTCTTTCTTTTTCTTTCTTTCTCTCTCTCTCTCTCTCTTCCCCTTCCTCTCTTTCTCTCTCTCTCCCTCTTTTTATCTCCCTCTTTCTTTCTCTCTTCCCCTTTCTTTCTTTCTTTCTTTCTCTCCCTCTCTCTCCCTCCCTCTCTTTCTTTCTTTCTTTCTCTCTCTCTCTCCCCCCCTCTCTTTCGTTCTTTCTTTCTTGGAATAATATTTCAGATATTGGCTGCATCCTGAAAACATGTCTCTCTCTGCCGCTGTTAAGACAAAGAAATCTGTGAATGAACAAATGGGGGAGCGGGGGTGGGGGGAAGAGTTGGCAGGTTGCCATTTCAAGATATTCCCATTTCTTCTGCCGCATAATTAATGCCATGTTTTATTAGCAATGAAAGCTGGGCTTGTTTTGCACAAATGCTCAAGCGGTAAAGTGTGACTCTGCAGACAGTGAAAAAAAACCCCGCGTGTAACATTACTTTTGCGATTTATCGCCTGCCAGAGTTGCTTATTCACTGTGTAAAACAAGTTTATTGGTGTTTGGCCAATGGCGGCCTGAAAGCCTTGGGGGCAAACGCAGACCCTCCCTCAGGCGGCTTGCAGATAAGCCTGCTGGGACAAATCTAATGCCCACCCACCAACATTTCTCTCCCCCCACCGCCCAAGAGCAGGCACC